GGTATGGTAACAAAAGCTTCAAGTTGTGTTACTTTAGTCTAAGCATGGCTTTATAGTGTTCAAGCAACGGGCAAAAACTGTAACACACCTGAATCCACCAGACCTGCAAAGTGCCAGAGCTTCAGCTTTTATAGAGATGCTCACACTTGCTGATGATCAGCTAATCAAGTGAATTTGATTAAAGTGGTCGGTACTCACGCTCTCAATTCCTGTGGAAGCAGTTGTAGTTTGTTTAAATTTGTATGTTGCCAGCTGTAAAACCTGCTAAGGATCAGATTGTTTTTACTATGTCCCGATACATAAAACCTTAGAATTTAAAGAGTGTGTACTTTATTTTTTACCAAACTGTAGATAATGATTGAAAGCCAAAAGATTCAAATTAGTGTCTCAAGCCTTACATTTTGATAGTGAGTCTTGATGTCAGTGATATTAATAACTTATTAATAACTTGCTCCTGACTTACTTTTTTTTTTTTCAACAAACGCCTGTGAAACTTTGTACCATGTCCATTATTTTGAGTGTTAGTTATATTTGAAAGAATTAATGAGCATACTGTGGGCGAGCATTACAAATGAAAAAGAAAAGTGTGAACGAAGGAGACGGTGGATAAATAACAATAAGTGAAAAAAGAAAACAGGTTTGCTGCATTATCACACTGTGGTACATAAGAAGTAATTGCTTTCCGTGTGTCACTTCTCATTATTTGTACAATCACAGAAATGGACCTTTCAGGTAAAGTGTGGTAGTTTCTCAGTAGGAGCTCACTTATTGATTTTCCTTGAATTACCTAGTCTTTCTTCCTTGCCTTTTTGGAAAGGCAAGAGAAACAGCAAAGAGAAAGAGCACATTAGACTTTTCAGTTTTGAGGGTTTTTTCTGTATGCATGAGAATAAGATGCTGTAGAACCCTGGTGTTGTCTCATTTAGTGTCCATAGGTTTATGCAAATCTCACACATGAGAAACATGCATGCACTAGACATAAATATCTCTTATTTTACACAAGGACTAGCCTGTATGTACATAATATGATAATAAAATCCATCCATCCACCCATTTTCTTCAGTTTAAGCCTAATGAATTCTATGTAGTAAAAATATCACCAATTAATAGTCTCAAAATCTCAAAATGGTAGTTATTTTATCCACTTAATTTTCTCAAATACTTTGCAGCTGTTGGATATTAAAATTGTCCATAGAAAAAAACATGCAGTGCAGTCCTTTGGTCATTCCATTTTATGGATGAATACTCTTTGAAATTGTCTTACAAAATTGGACAAAAAAAGCCCCCAAATACAGCATGTATTCATAGACGACTGGTTTTTGAAGCGTCTTCTATAGCCAGTAATACTTTAGTTTCTCCTTTTAGTTAATTGCATTCCAATCACATATATAAAAAACAGAGGTTGAAAACATACCTGTAAAAATGATGTGTGATTCATAAGGCTCTGAATCATCCAGGGAGAGGCGGTTCGCTATTTGAAGCAGAATTGGAAAGAGCGGGGGCAGAGACAGTATGCGAAAGGGCAAGTTATCCACTTAAAAGTAGTGTTGAACAAGAAAGAAAAAAGTGCTGAGACAAAAAAATTGACAGTTCTGCACTGCGGACATCTAGACGACAGAAGGGGAAGAAAGTAGAGGGAGAAAAGTAAAAGGACGGAAGGTAGGATAAAGTTAAAGGTTGATGTGAAACAAGGTACCTTGTTAAGAGACACATTTGCACATGTGCAGGTCCTAGATATGTGGTCCAGATAGGAGACAAGGTTATTGATTACAATGAGGACTTCCGTCTCTTCCTGGCAACACGGAATCCCAGTCCCTTCATCCCTCCTGATGCCGTCTCAGTGGTTACTGAGGTCAACTTCACAACAACTAGGGCAGGCTTGCGGGGACAGGTAACCCATTCAACCAGCACACAAATACAAATGCATATAAAATGTACAATGCCAGTAATTTAAAATGTACCTATTGAGCATAATCATGTCCAATAATAACTTTAAAGTTAATAACACAAATACATGGGATATATACTTGATGTGGCCACACAGTGTGCCCACTGGCTCTTTATTTGTGTGTCTGTATGTTAGTTGCTAGCCTTGACCATCCAGCAAGAAAAGCCAGAGCTGGAGACTGAGAAAACAAGGCTACTACAACAAGAGGAAGACAAGAAGATACAGCTGGCTCAGCTGGAAGAATCATTATTGGAGGTACTCATGCTAACATATACTGTGAGGGAAATATAGACATGGATTCTACAGGGTGGGCCATTTATATGGATACACCGTAAT